CCTCCCTTCGAAGGGCCGTTTATTGTCCAGAAGAAGATCTCACGAGTACGATACCGGCTCGTTGACTTCGCTGGTAACGATCAGGGTGAATCGTCGATACAAGACCGAAAACCGTATCGACCTTCTCTAGCCGACCTATAGCTAGAGCCGTTAGCACCTTTCCGTGATCCCATCACGGTCAAATCCATACATTGGAATCCTCCTCCGCCTGATCGGCGGTTGACCGACACCTCCCCTTGAGGGATTTACGTTATAATTATTCCACCTTTGGGTGGCCGTCCTCCCGAATGAACTCTCCGTGCCCTCTCAATTTCAGAATCTAGAGCTGAGTCAGGCCGACCACCCTCCAGAGGTTGTGGACATCACAGAGAGTCCACCAAACTCGCCTCCAGCCCAGAGACGCAATCCACCCTTGAGGGAATCCCATGGAGTCAAGGCGGAGGAAGCCTCAACCACTGAGCCTAGTGGCCACCAGAGAGCCTCCCAGGAAGAACAGGCTTTCGTAGCAGCCCTCCGGCCAAATGGAGTAGCTCCGGAATTAGCTGATTTCGAGTTTCCGAATCTCAAACGAGATCTCCGGACTATCTCTCCTCCTAGGAGCCCATACTATCCGGAGACTGAACCAGTCTCTCTGTCACCCACTCCGGTAACTCCGGTCGTGCAAACAGGAGAGGNAGATCCGGTGGCTAAACAATTCACCATCCAGCCCGTAGTCATGCTGGAAAGACTCCAGCTACCATCGCCCGCTCCACACATCCAAGATTACTGGGAACCCCTCGGCCCCTGGTTATCCGAAGTGTGGGAAGTTGAGAGGAAGAAGGAGGGCTTCCTAAGAGCCCTGCAGACCTGCAGTCTCCAGCCACTGCGCCACTTCGATCAGCTTCGGTATATGATCCCGCCGCTGCCAACTCCAGTAGAAGGAGCCCAACTCCCAGAGTTGGCTAACCCTCAGGACCCCGAGATTGCCGACGACGCCCTCGCTGACGGCCCCGTGGCGCGATCCCCCATGGAGGAAGCCCAGATTCCTCCTTCCTCTGGATCCCCGGGAACGGTCGTCCTCTCACGCAGTCCATCTACGTCTTCGAGGTCCTCTCGCAGTTCGGCCACCTCTTCAGACTCCTCTTCCTCCGCATCGTCCTCGACTTCCGGCTCTTCGAGCTCGGTGAGCAGTTGCTCAGAGCCTGACGAAGGAGATCCGGGTTATAGCANCCCGGGCTATAGCACCGGCAAACCGACGGCAGCAGCCACGGCCCAAACTTCCATGGAGGTGGACAATTCTCCACACGAAACCTCCCGAGGCCCTTCAAGTGACATCCTGCAAATCGACTTACAAGCCGACGAGCAAGCATCCCTAGCGGGATCGAGCGTGAGGCAAATCAACAACTCGCCTATCCCACCTTATACCAAGCCCGACGCCGGGGAAACCACGCCACCCACTTCTCCAGTGAACCAACTCACTGGCCCAACACCCTCCGCCTCTGGGTCGGCTCCACCCACTTCTCCAGTGAACCAACTCACTGGCCCAACATCTTCCACCTCCGGGTCGGCTTCGAATACACTTCCAGTGACCTCAGTCGCTGGCCAAGGTACAGTGGGACCTAGCAAGCGAGTCGTCCAAGCGTCGCCGGCCGCCGCCACCATACCAACACCTCTGTTGGCTGACCGGGACATCAGAAAGCTGCCAGAAGATCCTCCAAAGGGCGACTCTCCAAAGGGCGATACCAAAAAGGGCCCCAAGGAGAAGAGGGTCTGGTGTTTCGACTGTCGCAGGCACGGACATCGGCCAAGCGACTGCCCGAATCCCACCGGAGAGGCCTTCTGCGGGAAATGCCCCTACAGGGTCGCCAAGAACCGACCCTGCCCCACACATAAAACCGACTTGGCTGCGGCCGTCATGAGTCGATCCGCCAACAAGCCGGCCGTAAGGTCGGAGGTTTTCAAGGTATCGCCGGCCCTTGAGTCCCCAACCGTTACCTCGTCGAGGGAGTCTTTTTCACGAGACGATCAGTGGCTGTACACTCGTTGATCCGAGCCTTCTCGATCTGGAGGGACTTCCGTGTCGATTGAAGTTCCCTACAGCTCGCAAAGTTCCAGGACATCGAGACCCGACTATCGTAGTTCTCCGGTAGGGTCCCAGCAGTCCTACTACTCGGATATTCGAAATCGGGTCAGCACGATCACTTCTGGCGAATATCAGGAGCGGCATTCCGAGAGGACGCTACGTCAGGTTCCAACATCGTATTGGACTCCTCCTGACTCGGAATTCCCACCACTAAATTCCCATTATGGGGACTCTCCAGGCGCAGCCTCGGTAAATCCCAGGGAGTATCAATTCCCTCGGGCGAATTCCCCACTGTTCGCTCGGGACCGAGAGGGCCAGGGTTACCCTGCAGACTCAACCGTCCATTCGGCCAGGGCACCTAGAGTACGAGCAGCCCCTATCCCAGCGGCCGGAGTCACACTGCCAGCAGAGACAGTGGCAGCCATCACAGAGCTGCTCATGGGTAGGAGCCCATCAGCCGCACACGTTCCAGACCCCGTCTGGCCTCAAGACGACCATCCACGACCTTCAAACTCCTGGGGATCCAGGTATCCTCCGCGCTAAAATAAGCGACGGCACTAGAAGTAGGGCGCACAAGTACCTGACCCAAGAGCGCAGTCACAGAAATCAATCTTTTTTATTTTTTTCCTTTCACCAAATAAACTACCTTTTGTTTTGTTACACATTCGACACGCCCATGCTCCAATAAGGCAGATAGTAAATGCCACACATATATATTCACGTTCTTTTTTTGGGCTTCAACACCAAAGTATCTAACTTTTATAACTTTTTTTTTCTTACTCATCTTTTCCGCTGGGTTCTTCTTTTTGTTTTAGTTACATATTTAATCTAACCCCCTCAACCTATTAGGAGGGTGGCCTGTGATAATACTCACTGTAAGCCTAGAAGCCGAATCGGCGTTAGTTTTTTGTTATGATTTTCGAATACATTAACCCAGCAGAAACCGGTTCTCGTTTAAGAGTAAATTTAAACTTCCTAAATACTCCCGTATCCTCATCTCAGGGCATGGGTTCGACTTAAGATTTAGTTAGCAATAAGTATTCCCGAGTCAACGGGGAGGAACCACGGNACCATACGAAAATGTCACGTTACAAGTGATGTGATAACTGGATCAAGCCCTGATTAGTCTTGTAACGCGGTTTGTAATTAAGACTTGATCAGGTATAATGGTTCTGGGTTTAATCAAGCCGAAGGTATTCAAAGCGGGTGACCTGTCCATCGGAATCAATAAGAATTATTAAAGAGAATTTTTCCCATCCAAATTTTAGCCAATAGAATTCCACCAATCGACGTCACGTAGTACACCCTAAAGGCTAGGGTTTTCTCAACTGATAATTTTTTGATAATTTTCTCTAATAGTGGCTGTCTAAAAAAACCAAATGATCACTCAATTGAGTGAATCGCTCGCTGAAACTGACAGATTGATTTCGTCGTATCTGTCGAGGTATTACATACACGGAGAAAAGTGAATGGTAGGGATTACTTTTATATGGTAGAGGTTATCATAAATTATGGTAAAAGGGTTTCTANTGTTATGATTTTCGAATACATTAACCCAGCAGAAACCGGTTCTCGTTTAAGAGTAAATTTAAACTTCCTAAATACTCCCGTATCCTCATCTCAGGGCATGGGTTCGACTTAAGATTTAGTTAGCAATAAGTATTCCCGAGTCAACGGGGAGGAACCACGGAGAACATCCGCACCGGCCGCAGGTCAAATGTCGGAGGCAGACCCGGATAACAACTGTCAAAGGAGGGGAGTGTAACGAACATGTGGGGATGTTCGTTAGGACACGATGCTGCCATAAAAAACAACTAACCCCCCCGTGACATAGGAAGGCGACCCGTGAGTAAAAGGTAGCGAGAGAGAGAGCGTTTCACTTTTCCACCCCGGGGTGGTCAGAAGTCCAATCCTCGTGACAACCATGAGGTTTGGGGGTTTCCACGCCATGGTGTGGCTAAATTTGTGTTTTAATTCCATAGTCTCAAGACCANTTCACGAGGAACAAGTGCAACCCTTTTTTCCCGTGAATTGCCAGGTTGCTTAGAGTTTTGAAAAATTAGGAGAATTAGNTAACAGTGAAGCGTACTATGTTGTATAGTAATCAATACCATTCGAACATGGTAGGCATTACTATACAATATAGTAACGACAACCATTATTATAGGAGAGATTATCATGTGGATGGTAATCAGTACTATTTATACATGGTAATCTCTCCTTTTCTCGATATAGTAGAGAATACTAAAAATAGCCATCAAGGCACAATTAAAATTGAATTATCGGTTACTCATCAACAAGTCTTTACCACCACCTTTTCTCCCTGGTCCAGCTCTTAACAAGAGATTAGAATTACATCCAAATTATNTACAATAGTAAGCTCTCTCAATTATTTGGGACATAATATCTGGGAAAACGTAATATTGATGATACCGACCGAGACAGGTCCTCAATTACATTTGATCAATATCGTAATCCTAGAGCCAAATAATTACGTTATTCTTGTTACTCAACAATTACAAGAATACTCCTTTGAAAGACATTTCCAATCCTATGAAATTGATATAAATGATAAGAGGTGGTCGACATTGACATTTCGACAAATGAAATTTTGTATCCTATCGTATATAGCTACCTCCGAGAATGGAAAGCAATACGTTCCGAAACGTTGGGTCTAAATTCTCACGCAAAATTGTTGAGTTTAATTACTCGCATTTGAATTTTTTAATAATTTTTATTAAAACGTTCACCCGGCTAAAAAATTAGATTTTGGCGAAAAATCCAACATCTGACACTTTGACACTAGTGACCCTTGTGACCCTTGTGACCCTTGGACCTACTTTCCCCCCGGAAAAATACAAGATCCGACACTTTGGCCTCCGGTGAAAAANATGTAAATATGTTATTGTTAAATATGATCCTTACGATATTCGATATGATTAATCTAGGTATATTGATGATTATTGATAGGAAAGAATCCCACATTATAAGAAAATACTATGTAATTATTGCAACAGCGTCGAAACCAAATACGTTAAATCTAAATATATATCACCGACGGCGGTGGCTGTGGTTGGAGTGTGGGATTGCCATGCGGGAGACCCGCGTTCGATTCCCGGCTGGGGGGGCCAAAATTTGTGACACTCTAAATCTCACGGTTTCATTGTCGAGCGGGAGTCTCGCAAGAGACGACTGTACCTGGGCAGGTTTTTCCCTCAAATGAGGTTTTCCCTTGTCCTTCGGCGAATGCGGTACAGGGGGTTGGGGGGTGGGAAGGGAATAAATCGTAAAGACCCGAAAGGGTATACGAAAAGAAAAAAAATTATGAATATATATCCCACTTATCATGATATAGTTTAGTGATCATTATCTTTTATATTCGTGACATTTTCTGACTTTGTCACGTTTTACCATATAATATAGGTCATGTTACCATAGTACATGGTAATCTCTCCTATAAACTATGGTAAACTTTACCAAACGACTATGGGTCCCTTTACCATAATTAATAGTACACTCTACCCTGTAACATAGTAGAGGGTACTATTCAATATAGTAATTTCTCCTATGCTCATAAGCTTCATTCCCATCGAGAGACTTACCATGGTACATAGTATGTAATACCATACCCCATAGGAATTATTACCATAGCATGGTAATGCTTCCTAAATTTTAGAAATACATACAAGTCGTAAATTTGACATGGTACTCTTTCCCATGGCTCTTCTCTCCGTGTATGATAATTAATTCAAAAGAAAAAATGACTCAATTTTTTCATTGTGTATCACCTCTCTTGATGAATCTCTACCGTAAATACCGCTGCTAAAAAACCTTATGGTTTTTGCCTATGCTGGGGATTGAACCGGGGACCCCACAATCACTAATCCTATGCCCTAACTACTAGAATACATCCCCGAGTCGAACATTAGGATCTGAATTCCCCCTTGAACACCCATCATGAGTAGGAAGACCAGGATGAAGTTAGGGTGTATTTACATTCAGAAAGACCCCCTGGTTTCCGCCTGAACGTGCGAGTTATTTCCAAATTCCGAGGGTCGAGGAGGAAAACAGGAGGTGTGTTAAACCTATTTATCGCCCGCACCCCCTAAAATGTTTTCCACTCCATCCCTCTTGGAAAGAACCTACAAACCCTTTCGAGGTATTTTTATTTATTTTTAATTATTAACATGAGAAGTACGGGTGAAAATTAAGGTCATACTCAAGGGTCATATATAAGGGTCAAAAATAACGGTCAGAAACGACAGTCAAAAATAAGGGTGAGAATTTCAGTAATTTTCACCGCAAACTGAAATAAACAAAATAGTGAGCTACTCAATCATCCTGGCTATCAGGGTTAATTCAGGGGATAGATGATTTCTTTTCATTCGACAGGAGGAGAAGGGGGAAAAAAGTATCTGTTGAGAAGAGTTTTTCCGCCTTTAGGATGAGGCAGGATCATATAAGGAGTTATTCAGAATGTATAGGATGAACAAAGGAGGGAAATATATCTCAAGGCGGTAATAGGGGGGAATAAGGTCCGGATATTCGACTCGGGTCGCGTTATTATTATTAGGCTATGTTTTGCCTATACGGTCTATCGGGGTATTTGTTGACTTCAAAATTATTCATGATCTCGCTGATTTGCGCATTTATTCCGAGAGAAAATTTGTTTCTTTAAAATGTTATCCATTTCATTTGGTATAATAATTATAATAATCATAATACTAATGAACAGTTGGAAGCTTGATAATTTTTTTTTACTCAAGATAATTTGCTTGTAAGTTTGCTTTTTCTACTATATATTTATGGCATCGTTTCGCTCGCCCACGCGTACATTGAATTAAAGCTCTTTAATAAATAACTTGAAAATTAATATTAAATATTCGATTCTCGGAGAACGTTTGTTCAAATTAAAATTAGGTGGAGCGGATCTGAACATTTTCTTTTTTTGTCCAATTTCCCCC